TTATAGACTGCTGCTTGAAGAAGTGAATGCATAACTCGAATAGTGGCAATAATTTTAGCATATTAGGATAAATAGTACGCTTATGATTATTTCCAAAATAAGTTTAAACCTTCCCAATTATATATTTGAATTACATGTTTCACATTGTCTGAAGCATACAGACGAATTATCATTTGAAAAACCTAAATCTAAAATATAAAATATTAAAAAACATTCTTTTAATGTCCACATCATGCCAATCTGAATGAGGACTGTAAAATAACCAACTTCGTAGATCTGTCTGTTGGCTGCATACCCATGGAAGTAAAGACGCCACGCATTCTTTTGTGAGCTGTGTTATATTCTGCAATTCAGTTCAATTTGAAAAAAAATCGCATTTGCGGTTTTTCCATGTGTGTTACCACTACCACCTTCTGGATTGATATGTAATTTTCAAGATGATAGAAAGGGTTGATCTAAGTGACATGGCAGAGGTTAAGGCCGACAGTGAGCGGGTTGTGAAGATGGAGTTCAAGGTTGAGGAGGATGGAAGGGAACTGGCGTGATTTGGGCCTAGTTCGGTTGTTAGTCCGAGACAAGGGTAGGCTAGGGGGAATACAACTGAGACACCAATTCTTGTTTGATTGGAATTGAATATGATAAATTAAAATATCCGGCAAGTTAAATTGAGCTTCGGGTTTTTTTAACTCCCCCGCGATGTTAATTAAACAAGTTTTTAAGGAATAGTGTAGTTTAATTGTATTCTCTGTTGTGCCTTAATTTCTTGTGTGTGTGTTGTGTTGTGTGTGGTGTGAGTGAGGAGAGGACGAGAGAGTGAGGCAGAGCAGACAGCGACAGGGAGAGCAAGAGACAGGAGAGAGAAAGAGAAACTAGAGAGAGAGCGAAAAGAGACAGAGAGAGAGAGAAAGAGACAGAGAGAAGAAAGGAGTACAGGAGCAGGAGAAAAGAGACGATGAGAGAGAGGAAGAGACAGAGAGAGAGAAAGAGACAGAGACGAGAGAAAGAGACCCAGAGACAGAGAGAGAAAGAGACAGAGAGAGAAAAGACAAGAGAGAGAAAGAGAACAGAGAGAAGAAATAGACCCAGAGACAGAGAAGAAGAAAGAGACAGAGGAGAGAAAGAGGACAGAGAGAGAAAAGAGACAAAGAGAGAGAAAGGACAGAGAGAGAGAGGAAAGAGACAGTGAAGAGAAAAGAGACAGAGAGAGAAAAGAGACAGAGAGAGAGAAAGCAGACAGAGGAAGAGAGAAAAGACAGAGACGAGAGGAAAGAGACAGCCGAGAGAGAAGAGACAGAGCAGAGAGAAAGAGACAGAGAGAGAAAGAGACAGAGAGAGAGAAAGAGACAGAGACTGAGAGAAAGAGAAGAGAGAGGAGAAAGAGACAGCAGAGAGGAGGAGAAAAGACATGAGAAAGAGAAAAGAGGACAGCACGAGAGAGAAAGAGACAAGAGAGAGAAAGAGACAGGAGAGAGAAAGAGTACAGAGAGAGAAAGAGAGAGAAAGAGATTTAGGAGCAGGAGAGAAAGAAAAGAGAAGAGAGAAAGGGGCACAGTCAATATAACCCAGTACCCGCCTCGTGCCAGCAGGTTTCGGTTGCCGAAAGGGCGTCTGCAGCGAGCGGCGCCTTGCCCCCAGCCGATTGATGGAGCAGAGCTGCTGCGGTGGGCAGCGGCTGGTGCGCGTGCGGCAGGCGCGCGAAGCGGCGCGCCAGCGGCCCGGCCGCACCGCGCCCGCCAGCCGCAGCAGCGCCACGTCGTTGTCCCCACGTTGTCCGCCGTCCGTAGCGCCGGTGTGCCGCCACCGCCTCCAGCACCTGCGCGTTTCGTTCATTTACGCCCAATTAGATTTACAGTTATTAAGGCAAAAAAATCAGTTAAAAAAACTGAAGTGAGGCTTGATCCAATTCCAAAAAGGTGTGTCCAAAAAATAGCTATTGCTAAATGTGAAATGTACGATTGATACCATGTTGAAAAATGATAAATTAAACTTAAAGGTTTAGAAGTGGTTTCCAAACTTTTTAATTGTTAATTAGTTGTCCGCTTATTTTAATAATTTCATTTATTTAATCTTTCATGAAATGTTTTTAAACATTACTTTATATTGCATCCCTGTATTTGGGAATTATTAGATTTCGATTTATCTAGTCAAAAAACGGTTAAAAAACTGTATTGTGACGTATGGGGAAATAATTATCTTTCACGTTATCTTGAGTTCTAGAATCCCTTCCCGTCATTTTATTATAATAGTTTAAAAGATGAGGAAAAATTTTAAAATAAATAAAGAAAAATATGAATGAATTAAAAAAAACGCCTTGAGATTAGTAAACCGATAAACCAGGTTAATTGTGCGTTTGCGAGATAAGTTAGTAACGCGTTTTGTCTCCGCACGTGGCTAAGTCCATCAATGCCCTTTCATCCCTTCGGCTAGGGTGCTCGGCGCTGTTAACTGGGGACACTCCCAGACATAGCCGATAAAGGAGTTAGCGTACCCATTTAATCACATATTGAAAAATCTGTATCCATAATTTTGTTCTAATGTAAAAGACTAATTTATACCCAAATCAAATGTTTCTATCTATTAATCCGCCAACATTGAAAATTAATTTAACACCTAAACAGTGGGCACGCTAACTTAACGTTAAGTTAGCAACCCACACAAGAAAAAATGCATGATAACATACAAAACTAAATGTACCAGGACGTATGCCCCGAATTAAAGACTAATTATTTACCCAAATTCAAAAATTTTGAAAATTGTTTTGCAACCATCAAAATATTTAACACTAAAAGGTGGGTACGCTAACTTAACGTTAAGTTAGGATACCCTCACCAAGAAAAACGCATGATACATAAAAATAAATGTACCACACGTATGCCCGAATTAAAAGACTATTCTCCATACCCAAATTCCGAAAAATTTGTGGGAAAACTTGGTGCAACATCGAAGGCGCGCAACAAACAACGGCGGTGTTACAAACCCTTGCGGACCATCAACGGCCCCGTGCCAGTGGCCTTAGGGAGAAAGGGCAATGACTACTATAGCTAGTAGGGGACAAGTTAGGGAAAATTTACTGCAGAGTTCCGTTCGAAGCCACTAAAAGAGCTGTTATAGAATGTTACAACGTTGTAACGAACTTAAAAAAAGCATCACAAGAATTTAAAGTTCCATAAGTTTTAGCATTGCAACATTGTAGGGTTTCAACCCATCTGCATGAACAACACCGTGGACACTATTAAAAAACAAACCCACGTGCGGGGTCGGCATTGGACATACCTTGAGCTCCAGCTCCTGTACCCTCGTGGATCGAGAGGTCGTCGCCGTGCTCCCCGAGATGCGCACGTACAGCCTTGCGCACGCAGTGGGCCGGCCAGTCAGAACCCAGCTCGCGCCGCCACCAGCGTGCCCCCGCACGAAACGCCTCCTGCGCCACACCACGCCACGTTC